AACTCAGAATTGCTTATTAGAATAAGGTCAAACAAGGTTTCATTGCGTTATAAAAGAATAAAGGATAACTCTAAAGCCCTTTACTAAAGTGTTACTGTATTGTTTAATTAGTGTAACCTTTTTTCCAACACAAAAGCAGATCCAAGCAGGTTTTTTAACATTGGAAAAGCAACCAAAAATAGTTACCTATGCCTTTTGTGTTGTTTTCTGTGTATTGCAGGTTGAGTAAAGGTTAAGAGTACATGTTGCAGTTCAGACATTTTTGGTTGGACCTGAATTTTGTCAAAATGCCTGCAAACTCAGATCTCAGAAAATAGCTTTTCAACTCAATAAAGGTTTCATTGTGATAAGAAAAACATAAAAGGATCACTCTAGAGGCCTCAAACTAACTTGTATTTAGTCGTTTCATTAGTTTATTTTGGTGGAACAGTTTGCTGGTTGTGTTTGTGTCCCCTGGAGCTCCTCACCTGCATGGAGAAGTCCTCGGTGTCGTACAGGTACATGCGGAAAGCTGGGTTGTTGGAGTACGGCTCCAAAAGACTTTTGATTGGTGTGACGGCCGGAGAGACAAACAGAGAATTCACCGGTTTACCTGCAGAGCGAGAAAACACACATCACAGGATTCAGCTGCATCAAACACTGAAGTGTCCTGGATCCCTTTTGACTTCCTTTTAAGAAGTCGGCAGCAATTGAAATGTGTTCGTCTTGCATCGTACAATTGGATGCTTACATCAGGAACAAGTGAGCTGCGCTTGACTATTCTACAGCCTGGACAATTCTGGAAGAGTTAATATATGTACACTTAGCAGACTTTTATTGCAAAAAGCCGATGTTTCGAGTAGTTTCAGTCTGATTTTTGAGAAATATATACGACTAAATGTGCTTAGGTGGAGGTCAATTATCTCAGAATCAAATGCAACCGTTTTATTTTTTAATTCATCAAAAATATCAACTTTTGGTACTTCAGAGTCAAATCAAGATAATGTTTTGATTTGATTAGATTTATTTCAAATGTGTAAAACAATAATATAAATATTTAACATGAGAATTATTATACAATACAAAATTAAGCAGTGTCAAATTGATATACAAAAATATTACTGATTCTAAATTATGTATAAACAAATAATCGACTTAATTACAAATCTGAAAAGCGGTGGGAAGTTTATACTTATTTAATCCCACCCCTTCTCCCAAACACTACATTATTAACATAATAAACTGTAAATAAACAAACAAGCAATTACATAACAGAGGTAAATGATATTCAAGAAAAGATAAAATAACAAAACCAAATAAATAAATGAACTGCAAACACCCAGTTATGATTAAACAGCTGTTGAATCACACAATGACTCACCTTGTTGGTCCAGCAGCACCATGATGCTGTCCCGGTGTGTGTGTCCGTAGAAATGTCCCGCGATGACATCACTGTGCTTCCTGAAGATGGAGACCAGCCGCTCGTTGTGTTTCCCTCTCACCGCCGTGATGTTTCTGGCCCAGGGGAGGTAACCCACCGGCACATGAGCGATGATGTACACCTGAAGCGACAAGAAGACACACACATTTAATCACAAGTCTTAAAGGTCTCCTATCATGCAAAATGCACTTTTTAATGTCTGTTATACATCAACATGTGTCCCCGGTGTGTCGGGGAACTCACGCAGCGTCAGAAAATAAAACCCTCTCTCTTTTCCTCCGTACCCAAATCTCTTAAAACGGGGAACAACGGAGCTGATCCAGATCTGCGTCCGATATGACGTAATATCATGAAATGTGGACCCACGGCCCAATCAGAAACGTTGCTATCAGAAACAATGCCCGACTGTTTTGGACGTAATATGGTCGGTGTTTACATTAGCATCGCTAACACTCAGAGCTAACCTGTACTGGAGAGCATGTGTGTGAAGAAGCAGGAAATAAAAAGGAACTCACCTTGTGGTATAACCGGCAAGAGAGAAAGCCTTTGAGCTCCAAACTGTTTCAGAGAGAATCCTTGATGTTGTTTTGAACATAATATGGCGTTTAATCACGGCAGCATTTAGCTATTTTTTTTTTAAAGATCACCTATTATGCAAAATCCACTTGTTCATGTCTCTTCTACATCAACATGTGTCCCCTCTTCTCCATGTCTCTTCTACATCAACATGTGTCCCCTCTTCTTCATGTCTCTTCTACATCAACATGTGTCCCCTCTTCTCCATGTCTCTTCTACATCAACGTGTGTCCCCTCTTCTACATGTCTCTTCTACATCAACGTGTGTCCCCTCTTCTTCATGTCTCTTCTACATCAACGTGTGTCCCCTCTTCTTCATGTCTCTTCTACATCAACGTGTGTCCCCTCTTCTTCATGTCTCTTCTACATCAACATGTGTCCCTCTGTTGAAAGAGACTCTGAAAGTTTCAGGAACAAAGATTCTCTCTCTTTTTGATCCATTTCTATAAAAACCTGTCTGAAAATGAGCTGATCAGATTTTGGCCACTTTGTGATGTCATAACGATGTTTTGTCTTGTGTAACCATTAGCCAATCAGCAACCAAGGTAACCCCCCCCCACCTTGTCACCTGAATCTCCTCCTAGAGCACCATTGAGTTCTTTTTAACCAAATCTCTCTCAGAGGGGCGTGGGGAGGGGCTCCTTATTTTCATCTAAAGCAGTGTTTCTCAAACTTGTTCATACCAAGGACCACTTAACCGATAAAAAAACACTCGCGGACCACCTAACTCCACAAATGTCCAAACACACAGTTTTTCTAGAACAGATTACAAATCGCCTGAAAATGGTACAAACAAGTGGCAACATGTGTGATGAAGGTGTTGCGCTGGGCTATATCATGCAATCAAAAGTGAAACTTAAGCTCGCTCCATTGCGGAGATATTCCTGCGAGAGTGCAGAAAACTTTAATTTATTTATTAATTTAAAATGTGACATTTTACCAATATACTCACGGACCACTAGGGGGCACTCACAGACCACCAGTGGTCCGCGGACCACACTTTGAGAAGCACTGAAAAGTAACAGACAGAGAATCAGCTCTTTTGAAACAGGGCTGAAACAGGGCTGAAACAGAGGGGATTATGGGTAATGCTGCAATGATCCGTTTGGTATTTGGAGCTTCAAAACAGTATAATAGGAGACCTTTAAAGTGGAAACAGGGTTCAAGATGTAAAGACAGACATCAAACCTTCTCCAGACTCTGAGCAGCTTTCTGCAGAGTCTTCTCGAGCCACTCGAACTGTCCTGCAGGGTCCGTCATGTTTTCCGTCACTTTATTAGGACCGTAGTAGAGGATGGTGTTCAGACTGATGACCCGCAGACCAGGCTTCACCAGCTGGGAGTAAAAACCTCCTGAAGGAAGGGGACAAAACCAGAAAATAAAACCTGACAAAAGACAGTTATTGTGAGCGGATCGACAGCGTGATAAATCATCAAAGAGACTCTTTTACTTTGGTTAAAGCTAAAGTGGACCGATCATGCTATATTTGAAACATATATTGTAGGGCCATACCTATATAAAACATGTCTGTGAATGTACACAGCTACAGTTGGGATACCTTTGTTATCATGTGGACTCTGATATTAGAAGAGTACACTCAGTATTTTCCCAACAGAGGGTTAGATAAATGGATTCAAACCATGTTGTGTGTGTGAGGATTTAAAGAGACCTGTTACCCTGAGAGAGAGTGAGCAGAGCTTCATTCTGCAGCCACGGCCTCCACAGCTCGGCAGCAGCTCGGTACACAGCGTTAGTGGAGGTCGGCATCTGGTCCTAAAACAACCACGCAGCAGATCATTAAATGTCTTCACCTGCCGAGACACTACGGATGTGAATCAGCATTTAAGATAAGATGAACTTTATTTGGGAAATATTTGAGTTGCATAAAAGACAAGGCATTGGACATAAGAGAAATTAAAAAGGGTAAAAATAAACAATTCTAAAAAGTAAACATCTAAAAATAGAAATAAAACCGCATTAAAAAAGTAGAACATATACATGTTGAAATACCAATTGACAGGAAACAATATATAAAAGTAGGATATTATATTTATGTTATGCTAATAAATATATATAATGCTTTCCTAAAATGCAATATTTTTTAACATTTTCTAAATCAAGAATCAGATATTAAAGGGGACCTATCATGCAAAATGCACTTTTGTACTTCTTTTATACATGAATATGTGTCCCCGGTGTTCCAGGGAACTCACCAACACAACCCTCTCTATTTTCCTCCATACCCAAATCTCTTAAAAAGGGTCTGCAACGGATCTGATACAGACTGATCCAGATTTGAACACTTCTGTGATGTCACAGAAGTGGCGCTACGGCTATTGGGCCAACTCCACCAATCAGGAGGAGACAGCCACGGACATTGCCGTTCAAAAGCGCTGGAGACGCTGTAGTACATATGCCAGGCCTGTAGATGGTGCTGTTCTCACAGAATCAGCCCGTGCAAAGACAGTGTTAAATTGAGGGAAATGAGGAATGGCTAAAATGCATGATCTGTTTGGTATTTTGAAAAATAAAAAGTATAACTGCCTTATATAGGTATGGTCCTACACTATATTATTCAAATATAGCATGATAGGTCCACTTTAAGTTTTGACTGATATAAATCCGCAAATATTAACATTAGATGGAAATAAGATGTCGAAAAGAACACACTCAGATATAGATTACATATTTGCCTTAAAATGCTCAAATTTGAAGATATGTTCATTTAATTTCACAACAAAAGGCATAAAACAAATTGATTAAGTGACTGAGCATTAGAAAAGACTTCCGCCTTCCTCCTTCACTCCAATTCTGTAAAATAATGGTGGAACTGAGTAAAAAGTGATAACGGGGTAACACTTTAGGCTAAACTCATACTGTATGATGATATATCCATATCAGAGTTCCCGTTAGCCGGTAATTACCGGACTACGACCGGTAAAATATGCTGAAGACCGGCAAATCTAAATCTCTCCGGTCAAAGTGTCCGTTCAAAATAATTTCCGCTTAGCGCAATACCGCATCAGTTGCGCAACTTGCACCATTTATGTGACAGACAAAAGAGTATGTGACAGACAAGAATAGTCAATTCTAATGTCTAACACGTAATATGGAGAAAGAGATGTCCTGTATGGGTTGATTGTGCGTTGATCTGTTGGTAATGCCTCGGGGTTCCGGTGGGCATGTAAACAAATGCATAATGCTGCGCTATACTTTGTGGCCTCACCCGGTTGCATAGCGACACTTATTGTGTAGGTGTCTTTTGATAAGCAGGTAGTCATATCATTAGCTAGAACTAGCTGGATCTGATCGATATGGAGATAAACGCGAGTGAAGTCTAATCTGACGGGAGAGAGAGATCAGCTGCTGCTGACGAGTCGACACGCAGCTCTGCATGATCACATGCAGTGGTGAGCGGACAAAACACACTTCAGGTTAGAATATCACACATAGCTATTTTAATGACCTCTCAAACTACCGTAACTAGTTATAGATATGTTTAGTTTTACTGTCGGGTCACTCATTACTGATCCGCGAGCTGCATGAGACTGACGGGCTGTCAGGAGAGGGAGAGCGCTCCGTTTATTATTCCCGTGTTATTGTAAATTCCTGTACACTTTTGAATCTACTATAATTAGTTTGTTTAATATCGAATCATATCAATTTGTTTTAAAGCACAATAAATAACAAAGAAGACCTTTGACCGGCACTTTTCTCATTTTGTCCGGAAGATTTCAACTTTAACGGACATGTTGACCGGCGAAAAAATATTCTAACGGGAACTCTGATCCATATACACATCCTCCTTTTTGCCAGTGAGTGCCGTAAGAAGATCTTAAATCTAAGTTACCTTAGATTTAGATGTATCGAATATATCATATTCCAATTACTCCAATTATGTATATAGACCCTCCTTGCACTATTCTATTTTATTTGTATTTACTTTACTTGCACTATTTTATCTGTTTTATTGTGTTGCACTGTTGGAGGAGCCTGTGACCTAATATTTGGACATATCTTCACTGTAGCTAATGTAAAAATGACAAAAAACGTCTTGAAACTTGAATATAGGCACATTTCCACTACAGGGTTTTAGCGTGGCTCGGCTCGCTCTTTTTTGCTTTTCCACTAGGGGTAGTACCGGCTCACTGGTACTTTTTTAGAACCACCTCAGTCTTGGTTCCAAGGGAGCTGAAAATATGCTTAGCTAATGACGTAAAACATTGCCGACCGCTGATTGGTCAGAGAGAATCGTCACAATTATTGCGCGAGACAGTCCCCAAGTATCGCATAAGCACCATTTTCAAAACAGACAAGCAAGCAAGTATTTCTAATTTCAACAAAGTATTTTTAATTTCAACAACGTACGAGGTACAGACGTTCCTCCAGTGTAGAGAAAAAGAAAAAAAGCTGAAGAGTCATTATAGAGCCGTCAAGGACCACAACGGCCGGAGTGGTTCCAGTAGGAAAACATGCCTACACTGCGTGGTTACTATAGTTACTACCCACGTTACTAACTGTAATGGAAACGCAGCTTAAAGTGAGCCGAGCAAAGGTGAACCAAGCCGCGCTAAAACCTGAGGTCGAAATTGCGGCTAAAGATACCTGCGGCCAGTAGTCGTGGTTTCCCAGCGCGGGGTAGACGGTGATGTTGGGGAAGTGTTGTCTGATCGTCTCCGTCATGTTCCCGATCACCTGGACCACCAGGTCTGTGGAGAGCTCGCCTGCAGGGACGTGAGGGGGACTGTCTCTGGGGAACAGGAGGGAAACATATTGATTATTGTTTATTTATTAACACTATAAGCCCACAAGTAAATGAGCCACCAGAATAAGAATAGGTTTGGGAGATTTATTTGAATTTACAAGAATACCAAATTCTTATTATTTGGATAAACTGACCACATATTGGGAATATAGGATGAAAACAAATTACAATACAATACAATATATGCAGATCAATAACATTTAGACTGATAGAAATAAAGTATAATATAAGGATTCAGGTGCTCAAGACTGATATGTCTGCAGTGTTGAGAAAACCCTGATTTCTCGACACATATTGCAGATATATCATGACTCCCACAGCGCAGTGCATTTCCTACTCAAGTGAAAAGGCAAAGTCATGCTACAGAGCTCAATAACAAAGGAATGAAGCAAGAAATCTGCCTGCACAGTAGCTTAAACTTGCAAAGACCCCCTGGGGTAAAGGATTAAGTGTTCTTAAGTATGTTAATAAGCCTTTATGAATTCCTGGATTTCAGTGTGTCCGGTGCCTTGCTCAAGGGCACCACGGCAAGGCAGGAGGAGAACTGGGACCTCTCAAAGTAGCAGTCCACACTCCATATTTTAGGTCTGGTCGGGGACTTGAACCGACGACCCTACGGCTCACAGTCCAAGCCCCTACTGACTGAGCCACTGCCGGACAACACATGCACATTTATTGGCTAGCGCTCCAACACATTGTATATGATAGGCTAAGGGGCATCACTAAGCGGTTGACCAATCAGAACAGAACAGGCCAGCTAACCAATCAGAGCAGACTGGGCTCTGGTTTCAGACAGAGGGTGAAAAGAGGTGCTGCAGCACAGACAGTATGAGAAAAATAAAGAGCTTTTTGAACATTAAAGCATGGAGACATGTAGAGACACTACATACTGATATACACCTGGACATCAGCAGGAGAGGACTCTTTAAAGTAGAGACACTACATACTGATATACACTTGGACATCAGCAGGAGAGGACTCTTTAAAGTAGAGACACTACATACTGATATACACCTGGACATCAGCAGGAGAGGACTCTTTAAAGTAGAGACACTACATACTGATATACACTTGGACATCAGCAGGAGAGGACTCTTTAAAGTAGAGACACTACATACTGATATACACCTGAACATCAGCAGGAGATGACTCTTTAAAGTAGAGACACTACATACTGATATACACCTGAACATCAGCAGGAGATGACTCTTTAAAGTAGAGACACTACATACTGATATACACCTGAACATCAGCAGGAGAGGACTCTTTAAAGTAGAGACACTACATACTGATATACACCTGAACATCAGCAGGAGAGGACTCTTTAAAGTAGAGACACTACATACTGATATACACCTGAACATCAGCAGGAGAGGACTCTTTAAAGTAGAGACACTACATACTGATATACACTTGAACATCAGCAGGAGATGACTCTTTAAAGTAGAGACACTACATACTGATATACACCTGAACATCAGCAGGAGAGGACTCTTTAAAGTAGAGACACTACATACTGATATACACGTGAACATCAGCAGGAGAGGACTCTTTAAAGTAGAGACACTACATACTGATATACACCTGCACATCAGCAGGAGAGGACTCTTTAAAGTAGAGACACTACATACTGATATACACCTGAACATCAGCAGGAGAGGACTCTTTAAAGTAGAGACACTACATACTGATATACACCTGAACATCAGCAGGAGAGGACTCTTTAAAGTAGAGACACTACATACTGATATACACGTGAACATCAGCAGGAGAGGACTCTTTAAAGTAGAGACACTACATACTGATATACACCTGAACATCAGCAGGAGAGGACTCTTTAAAGTAGAGACACTACATACTGATATACACCTGAACATCAGCAGGAGAGGACTCTTTAAAGTAGAGACACTACATACTGATATACACCTGAACATCAGCAGGAGAGGACTCTTTAAAGTAGAGACACTACATACTGATATACACGTGAACATCAGCAGGAGAGGACTCTTTAAAGTAGAGACACTACATACTGATATACACCTGAACATCAGCAGGAGAGGACTCTTTAAAGTAGAGACACTACATACTGATATACACCTGAACATCAGCAGGAGAGGACTCTTTAAAGTAGAGACACTACATACTGATATACACCTGAACATCAGCAGGAGAGGACTCTTTAAAGTAGAGACACTACATACTGATATACACCTGAACATCAGCAGGAGAGGACTCTTTAAAGTAGAGACACTACATACTGATATACACCTGAACATCAGCAGGAGAGGACTCTTTAAAGTAGAGACACTACATACTGATATACACGTGAACATCAGCAGGAGAGGACTCTTTAAAGTAGAGACACTACATACTGATATACACCTGAACATCAGCAGGAGAGGACTCTTTAAAGTAGAGACACTACATACTGATATACACGTGAACATCAGCAGGAGAGGACTCTTTAAAGTAGAGACACTACATACTGATATACACGTGAACATCAGCAGGAGAGGACTCTTTAAAGTAGAGACACTACATACTGATATACACCTGAACATCAGCAGGAGAGGACTCTTTAAAGTAGAGACACTACATACTGATATACACGTGAACATCAGCAGGAGAGGACTCTTTAAAGTAGAGACACTACATACTGATATACACCTGAACATCAGCAGGAGAGGACTCTTTAAAGTAGAGACACTACATACTGATATACACCTGAACATCAGCAGGAGAGGACTCTTTAAAGGTAATTCGAGTTTATGTGAAAAAAGGCCAAAAGCGATAGCTACAACAAAAGAGGAAGTCAAAAACATCCATAGTGACTTCCCTTTATAGAAACTTCCTCATTCTTTAAAAAGCTCAAAGTGGTTTGGCATTTTGAACACATCACACACTGAGCTGTGAGAAAAAACGATGTGAAACTGCTGCAAAACCATAGCTCTAGTTTCTATGAAGTGTTCGTCACACACTGCTCATTTTCACACAACAGATTCAAAGCGTTCAACCCCAGTTTCAGTCAAGAAAGCAAGAAAAAGTCATATTTCTCGAAGAACAAGAAGGAGAGGAGACATGAAAATAAATCACAAAATCTATCTCGACTTCAGAAGAAGATGGCGCCGGTGATGTTGGCTGCCGTGTCTTTTGCTGCTCTCCAACTCTGTATATTCTATTGACATGTAGACTTTTTGCCACCAAAACTATGTAAGAATATGGTTAGTGGTCATCATTATCTGACTCAAGAATTCAATGTGTTATTGTAGTCATAAACTAAATTATATTGGTGTGCCAATCTACTTACTTATATCAATCTACTTATTTATATAAATAGTTATCGCTGCAATAAACCGTATTTAATTTTGTCTAAATATACATTATTTAATTTCATATTCTGTTCTTGTATCATATATATACTTATTGCACTACTTGTATTTTTGTATATTATTATATTGTTGGAGGAGCTCAGGTCAGAAGAGTTTCATTGCCATTTCTACCCTGTAGCTTACGTGCATATGACAATACAACCTGTGAATCTTGAATCTGAATCCTCATACTGACCCGGTCCATATGATGAAGTCGTCCGGCTTTGTGAGCGTTGCCATGTGATCGAAGGCCGACTGGATGAGGCGGAAGGGCGAGTCACACAGGAAGTCTCCGAACACCCCGGGGTTGGTGGCCGGGACTCCTTTAGAGGAGAAGCACACCTTGGTGGGGTCCGGGGTCAGGTGGTAGGTGGGGTCCAGGTGGAGGTCAGTGATGTGCCAGAACCTTCCTGAAGAGAGATGGACGGAAGGTGGATAAGAAGAAGAGAGCAAAGAGACAGAAGGGATAACAAATAAGATATGATATTACTTTAAGATCGAGTATGAAATGTGACTTGCATCAACATCAAGAGACAATACATGAAAAACAAACATTTAACAGCACGATCACTGAGAGAAAACGTGCTCAAAGATCCATCAGCGTGCATTTGATCTGGACTCAGCTCTGTATTTACTGAGAGGATTGACTGGAGCACAAAGGATGCTTCAGTCTGACTTTATTGAATCTCCCATTAGATGGTAGCAGTTCATACTCGCTGTTCTGAACATGGTTTTGGGTCCGAGGTTATGTTGTTGGACAGCCATTTAAATATGACATTATTAAAATAATATCATGTATTTTTTGCATTTAGTTCCTTTTACGTTGGGCTGATTAATTAATTTATTTTTACTTGCTTGTTGAGCACTAAATAATGGCATAAGTCCTATTTTTGAAATACTTAAAGGTGGGGTAGGTAAGTTTGAGAAACCGGCTCGAGATACACTTGTTGTTATATTCCATGGGATCTGTGGAAGCCGTGGCGCTGTAAAAAGCACGACCAATCATAAACTAACTGGATGGCCTACCTGCCTGTCAGCCTTCCATCTGTGCACAAACTTATCTCGTGCCCTCATTGGTCATGTGCGCGTTCGTGTGTGTTGGAGGAGGCGCTCGGTAAGGAAGTGGCACATTTGTTCCGGTTGTGTATTTTCAAATTCTAGCTCACTCGAGCTGGTTTCTCCAAAATTACCTACCCCACCTTTAAGATGACAAATTAATTGTATTATTTATTTGATTCATGTTAAGTTATAAAACAAACTCCAAAAGCCTGTTTTACAATTAATAAAAAGTAAAAAAATAAAAATTCAAAGCATTAAATTACATGTCAGGAGAGTGTCTTGCCAAACTCCATTTAAAAAACAGTTAATGATCATTTACATTGAATATGCAACTCCCATAGAACAAAGTAATATAAATGAACAATATCTTAGGGTTATTCGGCGTGCATGCCATCAAACAAAAAGCACTCATTTTAATTTTAAAAAACTACTTTTACAACTGAATCCTCATATTGTTCATCCTCTGGCAGAGAAACAATGCATGTCGATTTACTCTGAACATTGTACTCTGTGCAGTCTTATACATCCAACAAAAAGACACACAAATACACTTCTAGACCTCCACCTCCAGAGTTCATTAGCGGGGATTCCTCTCACCTGTGCCCGGCAGGTAGCTGCTTTTAGCGGGCGCCGCTTCCAGAGGAGCCGCTCCACACAGCAGCAGCAGCGGAACAACACAAGAAAGTAGTCCCATGTTCATCCTCTTACAAATACACACGGTTTGTATGTTAAAAACCCTCAGTTTGGTGCCAAACATAAAGTACATTTAAACTAAAGTATGTAACAGCTGCAGGTCGTTCTCCTCGGAAATAAACAGGAAGTGCACACAGGTCATGTGACTCGTGTTTTGAAGCTCAGGGGGAGGAACTGAGATCTGCTGCTTATCAATAAAGGGAAGTAACGAAGTACTTTTACTCAAGTACTGCAGGCTTTATGTAGTAAACATTGAGGTAGTTTAATTGATCATATCCTGAATACTTTTATTGCATCTGTGCCAAATGTTGTACGTTTTACACAACTTAATTGACAGATATATTACAAAGTAGGCTACACACCAAATATATTATAATTGTATAAAACAGGGTGCATTAATATACATTTAACTTCCAAAACAAATATCAAATAGTTACATTTGGCTCCAACAGTGCAATCATGCTCTATATCATACTCCTATAGGGTATTCTAATTGACCTAATCTATAGATATATATATGTTTTTACCTATAGATTTACTGTTAATTTATTATTTTATTGTTTACTCATGTGCATTGACCTGCTGCTGTAACAAAACAATTTCCCAATTTGGGATAAATACCTAACCCTAACCCATGCCTACATACAATAATATGAAACTATTATCTAAAGGCCAATAGTGAAAATAAAGTATCTTATTTTTGATGCTTTTGGTTCATTTGCATATTTCATTTTTGCTTAATTGCATTTCCATTGCAGTGCTTTTACTCAAGGGAGTGTGTACAGTGTAATATTTGTACTTTGACTTGATCTGAATATTACCTAATAGTACATCCATATTGTGCTTTTTTAACACCCGCTCAACATTTTTGACTTTTGACCTCGAGGCAAGGGGTACACGTCGCCCCTAATCTCCAGATGAATGTGGTGGACATGAGTTATGAGCACTTCTAATCAAAAATAATGTTGTTTCTTGTTGTATGGTTTAATATGAAAGACCCCTTAAGGACCAAAGAGATACAACTATACAGCATTTTAGGATCTATGACAAATTTCAATACTTTTCTCCAACATACATTTTCTTTTGTTTCCTGTCCATCTAATTATCATGTGACAGCTCACATTTGGGATTGAAAGGGTCACTTCACCCAAAAGGACCTTTAGGGGGTGTCTAGCCATGCAGTTAATTGCGTCTAATAGATAATTAGATATCTGTCTCTGTCTCCACCCCTGTACAGTCAAGAGGGATGTTAGTGCTCACCTTTAAAAACATACAATTCTGTAGACGCATTTCTTTCAAAATCATTGCCCCTTTTTAATCTAAGTATTCAAAACACCTTGCTATCACAAAAATCTATTATAAGGTCATTTTTAGTCGTTTAAATTAAACAAATATTGACATTGAGCACTGCAGGTGAAACCACATCCTTTACACCACTAGAGGTGAGTGATCAGATATGTTTGGGTGACATAATCATTTAATTAATCCATGCATTAGTTGAATAAATACTGTCATATTATATCTCTCTAGCAAGGGTTTAAGAGTCATTTAAGGCGTTAAAATCCAATAATAGAGCAACTGTTTTCTATGAGGGGGTTATTTAGCAAATTAATGCAATTCTTCCAACTTTTTTCCAAAATAAAAGTCACATTAAGTCACCGGTTTTGAAGATACGTCGTGAAATAATGTAGATTTATTTTGTAAATTGACAGTTAATGGCCTCATGCAGAGAAGGTTTTCTGTTCCCCTCCTCTAAGAGGTCAAAGGTTGAGTTTTTCGGGGGGGATTCAATGTCACAATTTATTTTATCTGAGGTTTATTACTTTCTAGTGAATGATTGAACTATTACAAAACACAAGACAGGAGTCAAAGATGTAGTCTCTGTGCTTTTTTATTTCATGTTTTTCTCACACAGGTTTTCAAAGACGATCCATCCGTCACCACAGAAATGTTTTCATATATAAAAACAAAAATTCTTACAAAACATGTGCAGCCTGCAGGCCGCGGACATGTGGAGGAGGATGGAGTGCAAAGAGAAGCAAACAGTCAACAATAATTATAAAATCAACACTTCGTGGCCGGTCGGGATGCTGGCAGTCGGAGCACTTATGCCTTCTCGTAGCTGCGGCTCGCGTGGATGTCTTCGAAGGTCAGATTCTGCAGAGAGAGAGGACAGTTACCATGAGAGGTCATTTAATGTTCACAAATACATCATTTTGTTGTAGAAAATGTTGTTTTTTAACAAAGTATCAGGGGTGAGGATGCTTCTGGAAAGCAACAGGTTGGGACTTGGTTTGATGTATGCATGCTAATTTGAAAAAATTGCATGCTTGCTCAACAAAAACGGAACCATTTTTTTTAATTTGCTGTATTTCTGGAGCTTCACAAAGACAAAATACTGTGTCTTTTGTAACATATTGTGTTGCTACATTTGATATTTTAATGCCTTTTATTTTTGCAACGAGCCCAAAAAGAGTTTGTCATGCAGTAATGATCCCTAAGTAAAGTCAAACACCCCATGCATTGCCATCATAACCTGAAAACAGCGTCATTTATTTCCCATTAATATAAAATATTCTGTATTCATTATCACGTTAAGATTTTATTTTTACAAAATCAGAAAAGCTGAGAGGCAAACGCTACTGTTTTAGTGTCATAGCTTATACAACATGGACTCCTAAGCCCTTAACACATCATTAAATCTTTCAAAATAATATAAAACTCAATTTAAAACAATGCCTTTTCTCTTGGTGCTAAAGATCAATAATGCACAACACATTTCCCAGATGGTGGGATTAAAATCTGCGTGGCTACACAATGAACCTGTTGTGGTTTAAATGTCTCTTTCTGTTGCTAAGTATATTCACTCTATATAAATCAACAGGACACTAACTGGTGTTGATCCGGGTGTTACTCTCTCACCATGACCAGCTTTCCGTCCTTGATTTCTCTGACGAACTTGGTCTCTTTGCCGTCCCACTTCTGGACGTGGACCAGCTTGTCTCCGTCCATGGTCACGGTGGACTGAAGGACAAAAGAGAGGAGTGTTTTGAGATTAGCATATTAAGAAGCTGCCAACTGTTGGTCTATTTCCGGACAACTCAACATGTCAATTCCTGTCATTGACCCACAAATACAAACAAAGGAATACCCTGTTTGACCCCCTGAATGCATGTGGAGAAAATACTATGTCAATCATATACTGTACACAATGTGCGAGAACAGTAGCAGGAATGAAATCATGGATTAAATACTAATCCTATTAACGACGCACAATGAGAAACAAAGGAACTACCCCTACCTCTCTCATTATTGGGCAAAAAATAAAGTTTTATTGGGAAAAAAACAGTTGCAGGATTGAAATATTGGGTTATATAAGATTTGTGACTTTTAAAAGGTAAGATTTAAAGAATACAAGTCCAGTTAAGACACTGGATACTTCATACAAAACATTAAATATTGCTTTTTGGGGTTTTTCTGGATAAAAGATACTTACATTTGGATCAATCAAGAGTTTTTGGTCTTATTCTTTCTATGTGTTTTGATGTTTTTATGATTCTGTCGACTTACCTTGCAGTTCCTGTCATCGGCGGTGGTCTCGTCGAACTCCTCTCCCAGCTTGAAGGAGATCTCTGTGTTTTTGAAGGTGCTCTGGGTGCGGACCACCACCTTGTCTCCTTCCTGGCTGATGATCACAGTCGGCTTGGTGACATTTCCAACCTGACGGGTGGCAAAGCCAACACCTGAGGGGAGGAGAGAGATTTTAAAGCACTTTTTCACAACATTTAATCTGATAAATCTGCAAGAAAAAGTCATAAAAAGGGGATTTTTCTGCATGAAACTAAGATATTATATGTAAAACTGATAGAAAAAGCCTGTTACTCACCGAGGGCTTTCATGTACTCATCAAAGTTCTCACTGTCGACCAGTTTCCAAGTGGCACAGAAGGCGTCGACCATGGTGAAGGTTTAAGAGGCAAAGTAATCTCCAGAACAAACGGAGCAAGCTGCGGCTTTTGCAAGTTTCTCCCCTTGAGTTATCATTCTGCTTCTTATTAGTATTCATGCAGGTGGGTGGCGCCACACGGCCCATTGGCTCAGGAGGTTTTCTCTGAGCTGTGATTGGTTATTTAAAATTGGGTCATGGTCTTACTCTTTAGACAAGAGGGAGAATAGCTAAATTAGCCCATTTGTATGCCTAATGATGTAATTACTCTCATTCATGGGTGTCAGCTCGGGGAGAGAGGTGGGGGGGGGGGTGCTGGCGATATCTCAGCCTAAAGACATCCACTTTTATCATAGAATAAAATATATATATATTCACCTGCATTTCTGAGTTTAGTCACATTAGGCATCTTGAAATGCCCTCTAAACTTGCATTGTGTGGTCTAAGACTGGGCTTCAGAGAGCTGGTGGTGATTCACACAGTTAGCAATCTTTACCAGCTAATCCATATTTATGTTTTAATTAATTTCCCCACGTTAATCCGTCAGGAATGTGTCATGTACTGTAGAGCGGAGCCAGTGGAGCAGAATCAGTGTGTTTGACAGCCCTTTGTCCTGAACTGCATTAACAGCCACCCCCCCCCAAAACTGCAATTTCTTCATGCTCAACACACACACTAATTACTGTCTATACATGTATGTGTGTGTGTGTGTGTGTTGTGTGTGTGTGTGTGTGTGTGTGTGTATATTCTGCTTTCTCACAGAGTTAATGCAAGGTACAAGATTTCTGCCAACGAAAGTTCTATTAGACAAGTAACACATGCTACTGTCAAATGATAGTAAAATCATAATTTATGGGTTATTTTGTTGACATTTAAAAACTAATATGTTTTATTTTACCCCCAAATAATTGTTGAATGATAAACATCAGTTTCACATGATGTTAAAGGGGCGATATTCTGCTCATTTGCAGGTGTATAAGTATGTGTCTCTACTTTAAAGAGTCCTCTCCTGCTGATGTTCAGGTGTATATCAGTATGTAGTGTCTCTACTTTAAAGAGTCCTCTCCTGCTGATGTTCAGGTGTATATCAGTATGTAGTGTCTCTACTTTAAAGAGTCCCTCTCCTGCTGATGTTCAGGTGTATATCAGTATGTAGTGTCTCTACTTTAAAGAGTCCTCTCCTGCTGATGTTCAGGTGTATATCAGTATGTAGTGTATCTACTTTAAAGAGTCCTCTCCTGCTGATGTTCAGGTGTATATAAGTATGTAGTGTCTCTACTTTAAAGAGTCCTCTCCTGCTGATGTTCAGGTGTATATCAGTATGTAGTGTCTCTACTTTAAAGAGTCCTCTCCTGCTGATGTTCAGGTGTATATCAGTATGTAGTGTCTCTACTTTAAAGAGTCCTCTCCTGCTGATGTTCAGGTGTATATCAGTATGTAGTGTCTCTACTTTAAAGAGTCCTCTCCTGCTGATGTTCAGGTGTATATCAGTATGTAGTGTCTCTACTTTAAAGAGTCCTCTCCTGCTGATGTTCAGGTGCATATCAGTATGTAGTGTCTCTACTTTAAAGAGTCCTCTCCTGCTGATGTTCAGGTGTATATCAGTATGTAGTGTCTCTACTTTAAAGAGTCCTCTCCTGCTGATGTTCAGGTGTATATCAGTATGTAGTGTCTCTACTTTAAAGAGTCCTCTCCTGCTGATGTTCAGGTGTATATCAGTATGTAGTGTCTCTACTTTAAAGAGTCCTCTCTGCTGATGTTCAGGTGTATATCAGTATGTAGTGTCTCTACTTTAAAGAGTCCTCTCCTGCTGATGTTCAGGTGTATATCAGTATGTAGTGTCTCTACTTTAAAGAGTCCTCTCCTGCTGATGTTCAGGTGTATATCAGTATGTAGTGTCTCTACTTTAAAGAGTCCTCTCCTGCTGATGTGCAGGTGTATATCAGTATGTAGTGTCTCTACTTTAAAGAGTCCTCTCCTGCTGATGTTCAGGTGTATATCAGTATGTAGTGTCTCTACTTTAAAGAGTCCTCTCCTGCTGATGTTCAGGTGTATATCAGTATGAAGTGTCTCTACTTTAAAGAGTATATCAGTATGAAGTGTCTCTACTTTAAAGAGTCCTCTCCTGTTGATGTTCAGGTGTATATCAGTATGTAGTGTCTCTACTTTAAAGAGTCCTCTCCTGCTGATGTTCAGGTGTATATCAGTATGTAGTGTCTCTACTTTAAAGAGTCCTCTCCTGCTGATGTTCAGGTGTATATCAGTATGTAGTGTCTCTACTTTAAAGAGTCCTCTCCTGCTGATGTTCAGGTGTATATCAGTATGTAGTGTCTCTACTTTAAAGAGTCCTCTCCTGCTGATGTTCAGGTGTATATCAGTATGTAGTGTCTCTACTTTAAAGAGTCCTCTCCTGCTGATGTTCAGGTGTATATCAGTATGTAGTGTCTCTACTTTAAAGAGTCCTCTCCTGCTGATGTTCAGGTGTATATCAGTATGTAGTGTCTCCACTTTAAAGAGTCCTCTCCTGCTGATGTTCAGTTGCAACGTTTCAATTACATGACTTAATTCGATAAGGATTTGATTTTCTAAATGTGCTTGCTTCTTGTAAAGTAAAATATGCTTTGTTTTACAGTAAAGTAAACTCTCATTGCTCGAGCTCCCTCGGCTGCAGCACTTTCAGAAGCACACAGTTCACTAACTCAACCTATACTCACATTATTCCCACATGAGTGAGTGTTTGTGTTTGGGTCTGCATTGATCTGCTTCTCAGTGTGAGAGGACAGTAGTGAGCTCCACATGTTGGAAGGATCTCTGCTGCCTCCTACTGGTGAGCAATAAAAGTGTTTGAAACTAAAGACAGCCGAACAAGAACACATTTAAAAGAGTTTATTTTCACCTGAGAACGGTTTTTATGTCCAACACAAAACTCCAAACAAAGCTAAACACATTTCACTGAAAAGGTGGTACATGGAAATAGATCTGCAGTCTGGTAAGGCTATTAGGAAACTTAATTTGGTAAAAATACAACACAATCAAATATATTAAAGAAAATGCAATATTCCATTAAATGATATAACTAAACAACGGTTAATTAAACGAAGCAAGAATTAATTAAAAAAAAACATTTTGCCCATGCTCTAATTATGAAGAATGCAGTAAATCTCCAACATGTCTGAACCTTTTTCACAATCCACCTCTAGAGGGACTAGCATGTTTTCATGAAGCTGCTGCTGTACTCTCACTTTGCTGCATTTAAGCCACAAAAAGCAAAAACATGATTAATATAAATCTTATTAAACTCTGCTAGCTGTGCTCTTAAACTCTAAATCTTTGATCCAGGCGATCTTGCTATTGATTTAAACATTACATCGGTTTCTTTCTTGGTTTGTTGACGGTGGCGTAGAGGAGGCTGGGATCAGCGGAGGCAGCAGAGGAAGAGGAGGGAGCTCTCACAGTGCTGTAGGTCACTGCATCTTCATCATCATCATGAAGGTGAGCCTGCAGCGGAAGAAAAGTGATTAAGCATAAAGGAGTTCTGAAAGTCTGTGAGAAAAGGACTCGACGTCTCACTTGATTTATTTCCTCAATAAACATTTTCCTGCAGATTTTATGTTCTCAATCTCTGCTTTCAAGTCTTCTTTAATACAGCACGATGTTCCGTGAGTTATGGTCACATTTAGAGTAGAATAGACGATAAAGTCACATCACCAGTGTAATCAAAGAGACAGCTCACCCTGCTGCTCTTCCTGGTGTAGCTGATGGAGGCGTAGAAAGCACCATCTTCAGGGTTAGCCTACACAAATCAAATGTATTATTATTATTAGTTATTATTATTGTTGCAGTGCAGATAACATAATAGCTGCAATGCAACATGCAAGGTTGTGAGATAGATAGATTCAACTTATTGTCATTACGTAGTACAGGTTCTATGTAACATAACGGTTTCTTTGCATTTGACCCCTCCTAGTGTTAGGAGCAGTGGGCTGCCATTATGAACGGCGCCCAGGGAGCAGTGTAGGGAACGGTGCCTTGCTCAGGGACACCTCGGTAGCACTTGGTCTTTCCGGGACTTGAACTGGTGACCTTCCAGTTGCCAAGCCAAGTCCCTATCGACTTCGCCCCCACCGCCCAGGAATAACTTTTACACCTATGTTTTGTTTCTGCTGCACTTATGCAGTTTTTCGTGTGCAATTTAATCAAATGAAACAGTTGTGTTGATTTCACATTTAGTTGTTCACTTTTTTATTTATTTTTATAAATACCAAATAAATATGTTGACTTTGACACAAACTCCTGTACAAAATGATCATGACTGTTATTTTGTTTTCTGATTACTTTTTAGGAAAACTACAACAATGAATTACAAAATCTTTACGAAATCACTTATTTATAAGTGTTTGATTATTTAGTTTTATCTCACCATGTTGTCCGTCTGGGTTTCGTTCCCTGAAAATAATATATAGAATAAATGGGCTTAATCTTCCAAAGTTAAAACCCAAGTTCATCAAAAGCTTGTTCATAAAGTATAATGTGTGAATGTCCTCACCTTGAGTCCTCTTCCGTCTGATGACAGCCACAGTGATTATTGTGAGTGCTGCAACAGCCACGATCACAACGATGATCCACCACCACCAACCTGGAAGAGAGGAGTTAGAAGAGTTACATATACTCAGAGGCTTTTATCTCTTCCTCTTTAACATCTGAATATTGATCTGTTCAGTTCAGTCACTATGTGGTTTGGTTGGATTTTTAAATCGTAGCTGATTTGAAGTCGCTTTAATTTGTTGCTGGTTTGTATCCTTAGAACAAATAAAGAAAAACACAACAAATTATTCGGTCAGAAACTTCCATGAAATAAATCAATATTTCAGTTATTTTTTAACATCAGTTCAAGTGACTTAAAACAGCTGAACGTGTTCTCACCTGAGGACTGAGGGCTGAAGGGAAACAGATGTACTTTCCTGGTGTTCTCATCAGTTACTTCACAAGTAAACAACTTAGACCTTGGTGTGTAACTAAAAGGAGAAGTCTGAAATGTCACAGAGGCAGAGCAGGAAGACTGTGATGTCTTTATCTCTCTGTGATCTTTATCCACATCTTGACCCTGAAGCAGCCACTTCACTGCGAGTGTACAGTTTCCACGTGTCATCAAAGAGCAACGTAACGTCACCTCATTATTGTCCTGATGCTCAGTCACTGAAGATGGAGAAATTGAGAGAGAAAAGACATCAAGAGTAACATTAACTTCATCAGTGTAATCATAATTATTGTAATGTTTCAGTATATTGTTTTAACAATACAGTTTGAATACATTACGATGTAAATACTCACTGGTAACAACAGACAGATAAACATATGATCCTGAACCTTGTTTATGCTGGGATTTGTTGTATTGTTGACAATCATAACGACCAGCATTTTCCTCTGTGACGTTCTTTATAACCAGAGAACACTTTTGTTTAACTCTCAGTCTGTCTGAATTAGCTTTGGCTTCTTTGTGAATCTTTCCGTATTCAAACAGCGTCACTGAGCTTCTTGAATCACTGAAGGTCCAGGTAGTTCTCTCACACTTTTCCTGATCATGTGTCACATTGTAACAAGGCAAAGTGACTTTATCTCCAACTCTGACAATGCGGGAGTAACGTTTCACATCTGCAGCTGTTAAAAAAAACAAAGACGGAAATCAATATGAAAACAACTGTAGTGTTAACAGTTATGATGATCATTATAGATGAAGCAGTTTGAAAAAATATCTCTGTGAGAGTTTTTGGTTTCCAAGAGGTCACTAAAGTCACCACGTTACAAACACAACTCATCATTCTCAGTTAAAGGAACAGCACGTAGTAAAGCACCGTTAGTGATATTAAAGCTGTTGTATTTAAAGTGTGTTCTCTGCATCTTCACCTGGAAAGTGGAGCAGCAGCATCAGGAATGAAGACATCACGATCCTTCTGAATTCAGACATCGTGCTTCTCTCTCGGTCTCTGGCTCTCGACTGTCAGAGTCTCTCACCGGCTGCTTCTTCAACAAGAACTCAGCATCTGCTTCCTGTGGTAATGACGTCACTTCCTCATCCATCTCTCCTCTGATGGCCGTTGGGTTAATGTGTGACATCAGCATTTCATCTCTTTTGTTTTTGTTGAGTAATAAAAAGAGTAAGACACTTTTTTAACATCAGATTTGTAAGTTTGATGCATTTCTTGTCTTTGGTTATTCAGAGTGACGGTAACTAGGCGTTCTTCATCAGCAACACAACAGAGGAAGTTGAGAATGTAAAGATTGTTGGTTTTAATGAATGTTAACAACATGGTGGTTCCTCTTTGCATCTCTGCAGATTTATTTTTACTTTTTCCGAGAACTGAAGAATCGTTTCTGTGAAGATGTGGTTAACAGCAGCAGCAGAGCTCTGCAGGTGTTACCCTCTGACCACATAACCATCAGAAACATTATTAAACTCAACGAGCATCTAATGCATCTTTTAAACACTTGTATTAGCCGGCGTAATGTTCATGTCGTTTTGAAATAGTTTCATGCTCTTCACACTGCAGACTCTTCTGGATGTACCATTCTCAGAGCAGTCTCTCTGACCTGACTATAGGACGCTACACTCAACTCTCCAAGATGTTTTATCTGACTGAGCTTCATGTTCTGCAGAGATGAGTCTTTGGTTCTCTCTGGCAGGAAGTATCAGGAGGAGGGCCTGGGGGCAGATAGAGGGACCAGATGGGAGAAGCAGCTGTAGAGGACGGGATGAAGGTCGACCAGACTTGCTGGACCACCACGCAGGAAGTTTGAAAGGAACGAAGCAGTCCAAGAAGGACGAATAATCTCTCTGGAGGGCAAAAGTTGTGGCGGGACCACCGAGGCATACAGGACCATGTGGTTGGATGTTAGGACCGTCTCAGATATTGCAGGACGAAGACGAGTCCTCCTCGACTGAGAAGGAGAAACAGGCTTTGTTAGCATCTTGACAGAAGGATAACAAGTCTGTTCCAGATCTGCAGGCAAACTTAAATTGGTTTGAATCCTACTTAAAGGACAGGAAACACTTTGTTTCTATACTGTAGGTGACTACACATCAAGACTCCATCTGTAGGCCTCTTCTCTTTAACATCTACATGCTACCACTCGGACGGACATCCCGGGGCAAAGCAGAAGCCGAGAAGGGTGTCTCGGGTGGACGGCCCGGGGGCAAGGCAGAGTTCGAGGAGGGGGTCTCGGGCGGACGGCCCGGGGGCAAGGCAGAGTTCAAAAAGGGGCGAAAGCCACAGCGGGCAAACTCAGGGGGCCGGGCTCGAGAGCGAAGGCCGCGGCTGGGGAACTCAGGGGGCCGAAGGCAGTGACGGGATAGCTCCAGAGGACGACGTACGCCGCAATGAGACTCGAGAGGGAACTTCAGAGGGGACTCGAGAGGGAAGTGGAGAGGTGACTGGAGAGGGGACTCAAGAAGAGACTCGAGAGGGGACCTGAGAGGGAACTTGAGAGGGGACTCGAGAGGGAACTGGAGAGGGGACTCAAGAGGAGACTCGAGAGGGGACTCGAGAGGGAACTCGAGAGGGGACTCGAGAGGGAACTCGAGAGGGAACTTGAGAGGTGACTTGAAAGGAGACTTGAGAGGTGACTAGAGAGGGGACTCGAGAGGGGACTTGAGAGGGAAATTGAGAAGGGACTTGAAAAGGGACTCGATAGGGAACTTGAGAGGAGACTCGAGAGGGGACTTGAGAGGGGACTTCTGTCGGTCGGTACGCGGACAGGACCGGGGAGCTGGAGTCGGCCGGAACGCCAACAGGAGACGAGGTGCTGGAGTCGGCCGGTACGTCGACAGGACACGGGGAGATGGAGTGGGCCGGACCACCGACAGGACACGAGGGGCTGGAGTGGGCCGAACCACTGACATGACACGGGGGGCTGGCGTCGGCCGGGGAGCCAGTACTGGAGCCGAAACTGGAGCCAGAACCGAAGCCTAGACCATGGCTGTGTGGGCCGGAACCATGGCTGCTGGGCACGGAACCGGAACACTGAACCATGGCTGCGTGGGATGGTACTGGAGCACGGTACCATGGCTATGTGGGCCGGCACCCACTCGGGTAGTTACTCCCTTAACCAGGGCGTTGAGGTTACTTCTTGGCGTGCCGTATAAATAATTGACTGCCTCTCTTCACTACTGGAGGCATATCGAAAGTCATTCTTCAAGCATGTTAAATTGTCTGCTGGGTCCATTCTTGGTGAGATCCTTCTGTCAGGGTTGAGTGAAGCAGGCAAGACCCAAATGCAGATTTAAACAGAAAATACCTTTATTTCAAGGCTAACATAACAACAGAACTCTTCCCAGTGAACAGTCAAGACAAACAAGGATCTCACAAAGACTAACAGGAAAAAACTAACCTAAATGCACACAGGACTAATCAAAGAAACAAGAGACAGGTGAGGAGGGAGGAGGAAACACAGGGGCACCAGGTGAACACAATCAGGAAATCAGACACAGGAGGGCAAACACAGGGTGTTTCTCAATCGCGAGGATGCTGTCTTGGTAGTCGCGTACTTCCAAGTCACTTCCTTCAGAAACGAAGCAAGTATGCTTCCAAGCCACGGCTCCGGAAAACGAAGAAGAATGGAACAGGCTAACAAATGTGCCACTCTCTCGGTTTCAACATAAACTGTACAGAAAATAAATACCTCACGATGTCTATCTAATTATGAACTTGCTTTACTTTCACAGAACACATTTTAGATGATAACAAACAAATGTAACAAAGTAACATATTTACCAACACATGTTCTACGCCACTACATACTTACATTTAAATGTGTGCTGCGTCGGTTCAGCCATTCTCCGCAAGTTTTTTTTAAATTGGTCCGTGCGCAAAGCATTGTGGGGATTTTAAGGACGTAAAGTCTACCCATGTGCAGCCTCGACATTTCCCCCAAACCAAGGACGCGGCCTCGGTGGAATTCAAAGTATGCTGGAGATTGGAACAGTCCTTCTGAGGCACTCGATGACGTAGCATCCTTGAAACATTGGCTTGGAAGCCAGAATCCTCGAGATTGAGAAACGGCCACAGAGACAGGAATCAACAGACAAGACAGGGGGTGAACACTTTTCAAAATAAAACCGGAAACCAGAGACAGACAAAAACACAACACAGACAGACCGTGACGTAAACTGAGGTAATTGTTTTTGGAGCCATGGAAGAACTGGCAAAATGGGATTCTGCTCAACAGATGAACCGCTAACTGAACCGGAGGACCAAACTGAAAGCTGATAGGATGTTAATCAGGCGATTTGGGTTTTGCCAAGGCAAAGAGAGGTGTCAAAGGTCCCATGTCATGCTTTTCCGGTTATTACCCATCCCCTTGTGTGTTATGAAGGTTTTTCTGCATGTAAACGGTCTGTAGAGTCAGAAACCCTCAAAGAACACCCTGTAGCGAGTAAAACTCTAACACAGTCTATGCTGCCCCAAAAGGCCTCGTTGGAGATTTCTCATTTTCCATTGTTTACTTCCTGGGTAATGTGACGTGGGGATACCCAGAGGCCGCACCCTCTGCCAGCCTTACACGAAACAAAGCTTCACAAACCTTTCAGCGATTCATGCCGGATATGCACAGCGTAGGGCACTGAAGAACGATGCTGTTCCTACTTTGTTTGGACCAGCGGGAGATTCGAGTGCACAACCTGTAAGTATTCATTGTTGTTTGTGTATTTCTGATGTTTAAAACAAACAAGGTATCTACCACGACTGTTTAAATGGGTAAACGTTTTTCGGGCTACTACGTTGGGATCGTGGAGAAATGCTCTCCGCAGACTAGGGGTGTAACGGTTCACAGAAGTCACGGTTCGGTACAACAAGAAAAAGCAAAAAAGTCCCAAATGCATAATTCCACGTTTGTTGTTATTTATGTTTGAACAGTAGTGCAAGTTTCAGTTTAAAAATAAGGAACTCTAAAATGTTGAATAATTAACTGTATTAAACTGTTAAAAACAAACCACAAACAGCACCACACACACTCAGATGCCCAGATTATCTATAATGGCTGATGTCAAACAAAAAGGTTCAATAAACTGTAAAACTAAAAAGAATGTCTTGAAAATATTACATCATAAATAATAAGAAAGTACTTCAAGGCGCATAGCCGTTGACATATATATGCGAATAGCTTCCGTTATTTATTTTGGTCTCACGGCTTTCATGTCTCTTAGCTTCTTAAAAACAGCGGGGATCAGCTGCTGAACTGCTGTTGTCTTTTGCCGGGCTCCGGTGATTGGCCAATCTGGGTGATGCCTTCTGATGTGATTGAGCCAGAGCCATATAATAGAATATCTATATTATTAATATCTATATATATATTATATATATATATATATATATCTATATATATATATATATATATATATATATATAGCCCCTCTCTATATATCTCTGGATTGAGCATGTTTGGCGTGTTTCCCATTAGCATACCGCACTGCTATCGAACAACGCCGACACACCGTCCTCGTCCGAACCACCACTCGCACACTCCATCGTTATTGTAGTCCACAGGGAACCCGAAATGTTCCCACACAGCTGATTTAAAAGAAGCAGGTGGGTTCTAGCTCCTGTGTGTTATCTGAAATCGCCATACTAACTTTTCTTCTTCTTGTATTTTGTTGGTTTTGTTGTTGTTGTTTCTTCTTGTTCTTCATTTGTTGTTTAAGGGCGGCCGGCAAACAGCTTTTAGGCGCAATACCGCCCCCTGGATTATATATAGTGTAGTGGATACTGCCCTGAATGACAGACCTGGACACGTACTATACAGAGATGCTGTATGAGAAACCAATGTGAGTTTGGAAAATTGCACAATTTAAATATATTTTAGTATGCCTCAACAATGGATCAGTAGAAATGGCCATGACATGGGACCTTTAAACCCAACAAAGCGTTGTGTTGTCAGTGTGTTGGAGATAGATAGAGAAGCACAACATTATACAATTGAATACAAGTTCTCTTTTTATTTGGATTATATAACATTAAAGCAGTAGTAAAACAAGGAGAGTAACATACAGTATTCCATTAAGACTAAAGCTAATCAAAACATCCTTAGAAACTGTAGGCATTTCAGGTTTAGGAATACATAGTCAAAAGTGAATATAGTAAATATATTGTGTAGACTATTGATCAGATATATACAGCATGTGCAGCAATTACCATATGGATTAAAAAAGATAAGAGCCATTATTAAAGTTATTAAATCTACACTAGGGTGACTGATTGTCCCTAGAGAACACAATTAACAAAAACATTTTATGGATCATTTTACAATTTAAATATGTTATGAATTCAACCCAACGTATGTATGAAAATGTGCAGCAGTTACAGTAAGAAGTGAAGGTATACTAATAAAATATATACTGTGAGTACAAGTAATGGTAATGATAAGCGGCTGGAAGTTGAAGTTTTAAGTGTAAGCAGTAGTATAACTATATATGGGAATGTGAGAGCATACTTAAAGGACGTTAAATCAGAAAGGAATGAATATAATAAGCTGTGTTTCCTATCATATGGAGGTGAGTTCCTGAAGGGCCTCTCGTGGGGCTCAGGTGCTCTCAGTCATCAGAAATGTTCCAATGATCTCATGGTTCTCCTGTTTTCTCCTGTAACATATGAGGAGGTGATGTTTGACAGCATGGACTCTGAGGGGAGTTGATGTTGTTGATCAGTCACACAGAGGCAGAAGGCTCACAATCGTTTTCATAGTCCACCTCATCTTCATCTTCATCTCCATCAATCTGCTCCTGTCAACATGGAACAAAGACATGGTAAAAACCCAGAGATGAGCTGGACAGTAACTAAGTACATTTACTCAGGTTTTGCACTTAAGTACATATTTTTAACATCAACATGCTACCACTGGCTGAATTTCATTTAATTGTAAGCATTATAAAGTGGTGTTGATTCAACTACATGGTCACTTTGAAGCCTCCTTAATGAGTTGCTATTTCGTTGTTATTTTGCTAAATTAACTGTTTAGCTTTTCTGAGATCATTTAATTTGGATACATAAATATTCAAAAATGAATCTTGTGTTGCATCTTCTTCTGCCTGTCATATATCCATTGTTAAAATTGGATAGCAAATAATACACACATTTAATTATGCAATGTTCAAACTCACCATGTTTTCTTCCGTCTGTGCTTT